TTTTAACAGAACAAGCCCCTGGGAGAGGTTTTTCTAAAGCTATGAAGGGTAAAGAAAAGTTTAAAGTGGAAATGCGGGAGAATGCTGGTAAGGGGAGCCTGTTAATGGACTGGGTGGTCCAAATTTTAGATGAATGAGAGCCGTTTTGGCCCAGCCATGAGTGCTGCGATAGCCCTAATTCTGATTTCCTTTCTCACATGTCGCATCGTACACATCCTTTGGAGACATTGTTGGAAGCTGTCGGAGGAGATGGGACTTAGGGTGGACCGAACACTGGCCCATGAACTACAGGAAATGCCACCAAAACAGCTGGCACAGTGTGTGACTAATCAAGGAGGGACTGAGGGACCTGAACGGTTCCTGGACTTTGAGGGAGAAGAAGATGAGCAATGGACTTTGAGCAACACAAACAACATGTTTGTGTAATGTAATGTAATGATATTATCAAATGTGGACACTTTCTTCTATGCAAATGAAATTATGTCAGCGCATCCAGGAAATGGATGGTCGCCAGGGCGCGGGGCCGTAAGATTCTTTCCCTGCTGAAACAGCCGAGCAGGGTTTTCAGTCTTACGCGCTGATATAATTTGAAATGATCCAAGCTATGGTATGGTGTTTAATGTTTGATATGATGATCAGGTTTTTATGAAAGTAAGAACTTTCAAAGGGGGGATGTGTAGGGGAATGTCTTCATACATTTAGGTTAAGAAATATAGAGTAATTATCTTTTAGTAAGAAGCTACAAATAGTCTAGGTTGGCCTGCTCCTGCTGCCCCACGACCATGAGATTGTAAGCAAGGCTGTCTTGCAGGAGCCCAAACTATCTGTCTGTTGGAACATGTAATCTCTGCCAGGGTCAAGACGAACCTAAACAAAGTGTCGTGGGGCAGACATGTCATCATGAGGGGCCTTCTGGAGAATCCACACACACACACACACACACACACACACCTAACAGCATAAAAGAGAGAAGAAGAGAAGCTAGAGGAGGCTTCCTTCGGTCTTGGTCGAGACCCTGTTTGTCATCTGTACTGATTTCTACATCTGTACTGTTAAAGACGCCCAGGCTGTTCTTCAGATCTCATCATGTCTCCTGTGCATTGTTTATGCTGGACTTTCCACAACAGTGTTCAGCCGGGCCTTGTGGTTCTCACAAGCTCATTATCATGAAGATAGCAGTTACAGAGGATGAGCATTAGGTCGTTGTTTGAGCATTATGTTCTCAGCCTCAAACCTCCTTTCACCTGCTGTCGTGATGAATCTACCGTCACCATGGCTACCAATTAGCGCACCTGGAGACACACAGCTGACTGGACAGCTGCTTCTAATGGCTGTATGAGACATATGAAGCCAGGCTCAGTATGCAGAGTACTGGGGATTACATATAAAACCCTTCACCAGAGCACTTAAAAGAAACTTCAGCAAGGATTGTCTCCGACAAACTTTAAACTACAGAAACCATCCAGGGCTTAATAAATTCAGCTCATTGAGGACATTATGGGGTCTAATCAGGATTTTCATTAATTTGAATTTTCCCCATTTTTCAATCACTCATTGATCATGCATTAATTCTTCAAACTCATTTGAAATCATTCAAACTGATTCAGACCTTTCTGAGTCTTCAGACCTCTCATACTTCCACATTATGATCATTTTAATTTTCCCTGTTTTAATCATTTACACGATTCATGCATTATTCATTCTTCAAACTAATTCCAACTCATTTTAACTGATTCAAACCTTTCTGATACTTCAAGCCTTTCCCATACTTAAGGGTTTTTGGTCATTTTAATTTTCACACATTGAATTTTTTAAAATTATTATTCATTCATTATTTAATTCATTCTATGAATTTATTCAAGTTGATTAAAATCTTCCTGATTATTCAAACCTTCTTATCTTTCACATATTTTCAAAATTCAGCCATTCGCAATAGCAGCTTAGCAATAGCAATTTCAACTGGAGCAATCCCACTCGCAATTTCTTCAGAAATTGCATTTTCTAGTTCTTATTCTTCCACCGATTTTTGCCGCTTTTCAACTCCTTCAAACTTTGTGCTATTTCAACCATTCAAACTTGAATCTGTTCCACTCCTTCAGGACATGTGTGCTTGTATTTTTTTACCTCTCTACCCTTTATACTTTTTGTTTTTTTTAACTTTTTGTGCAAAAATTTTAACATTGAAGTCAATGGGGAAATCTTCCAATTCTTCCTTTTATTCTTCAACCTTTTGAGCCTTATAACTTCAGCATACTTTCACCTAGAGACCTCATTTTTGCTTTAAAATGTTCATTATCTTATCGACTATTAATGTTTTTTGTTCAATTTTTTTATCTTTTTTTACAGTTTTCCCACAATTTAGCTTTAAGCAACTCATGGTTTTCAGCTAATTTCAGGCTTTATAATGGGTGTGTATTGGAGAGGCTAGAGTGTTTGATTACATCGCTAGAGTGCAGAGCTCCTCTTGGATCGACAGAACCTCGCTCGAATATATTGCTCCCACACCCAAAAATTTCACTTCACAGCCATAAAAAATACATCAAAATGGAGGTATATGTGTCCTGCTTCTCACAAAAGAGGTTTCAAATCATTAAATCGTACCCCTTGGCCAGCAGGTGACCAACTGTCCAAAAAGGCAAAGATTCCTCCCATTAACCCTAATGTAATCTTTCTCCCAGAAAATCCTGATCATCTCTCAGGCTCAGACCTTTTTAACTCGCTGTTGTGGCCACATTTTTTAGAGTACAGACATCAACAACACATCATTGTGTTCATGAAGGGCGGAGGATTCGTACGATGTTCTTATTTTCATTCTGGGGTTTAAGGAAATCACGCTATGTGAAGAAGTTAAAAGGCCCTAAATTCACTGCAGTTAGGCAGCTTCTCATTCAAACAGTAGCTCAGTTGGTCCTTTGATCTCACAGCTGTAAAGGATGCAATTATTAACGAGACACACACACAGTCTGACAATGTGTGTGTGTGTGTGTGTGTGTGTGTGTGTGTGTGTGTGTGTGTGTGTGTGCCTATGGCAACCAATTAGCACACCTGGAGACACACAGCTGACTGGAAAGCTGCTTCTAACGGCCATATGAGACACATGAAACAGTTAGGCAGCTTCTCATTCAAAGAGTTGGTCAGTTAGTGCCTCTGATGTCTAATACTTGTTAAATGCATTAATTAACAGACACACACATACACACTCAGCCAGTGTGTGTATGCGCCAGTCTCTTTCTGTCTATGAGACCTTCAGGTACACATAGTAAATGTGTGCATGCGTGAGTCTGTTTATAAGACTGTGGAAAGCCATTTGAGCATAAATCTGATATCAGTGATATCAACCATAGTTTAGCCCTACTAGTACTCAATTTAAGCTTACATGTACTCCATTTTGGTCTACTAGTGCGCGAGTAGATCTTACTAGTGAAGCAAAAAGTGTCAAGCTTAAATTGAGTACTAGTAGGGCTAAACTATGGTTGATGTCAATGATATCGAATTTATGCTCAAACGGCTTTCCATACAGGACCTACATGCACACACTTTGACCGTGTGTCTGCTTCACCACCTATCTTCTACCACATACTTTGAGTTACAGAGACATTTAGGGCTTTAAGAATTCAGCTCATTGAGGACATTATGGGGTGTACACAGGATTTCTATTGATTTAAATTGTCCTTAATTTAAAATCATTCTCATTATTTATGCATGATTCAATTCTTTTAACAAATTTAAACTAATTCTAACTGATTCAAACCTCTCTGATTCTTCAACCCTTTCAAATACTTTTGGATTTTTTTATTATTTATATTTTTCCCATTTTAAATCATTTTCGCTATTCATGCATAATTCAATTCTTCAAACAAAATCCCACTTCTACTTCTACAACTACTACTTACATCACGTCTACTTCAACTAGTCTTGCTACTATTAATATTTAAAAACAATTCAAATGAATTGATTGAACCACTGCCTTTCTGTCTTGTTAAGCATGACATTTACGAGTGTCCCTGAACGCCTCAAACATTTCTACCGCGAGAGAAGAAACTCGTGTCTGGGCTGTCAGAGAGCGAATGGAAGACGAATCCTTACACAAATGGAGTCTGGGCCGTTTATCAAAACTTACCTCTATCTGATCGTGGAATATCGGCATTGTTAGAGGAGGACAAGTAAAAACTGTCTATGGCTTCGGCCAGGGGAGGGGAAGGGGGGGGGAAGCAGGATTTAAACGAGTGTATCCAGGAGGAGAGCCAAACGGTGGGAAGATGAGGAAAACTGAAAGCACAGAGTTTAAAGTAGTGTTTAAAATGAAGGACCCAAAAGGAATAGGGGGGTTTAGAGCAGTCAGTCCTATAAAAATTGCAGAAACACTCAAGGGAGTTGGCGAAGTGGAGGCAAGAATCCTAGCTAATGGAATGCTCATGGTTTTGTGCAAGAATGCAGAAATACAAAAGAAAGCAGCTGCGGTTAAAAAGATCGCTGGGCAAAGTGTGGAATTGCATGTATCAAACAGAGTTGAGGGAATCAAAGGAGTTATTTATGGTGTTTGTGCCGACATAACAGACAATGAAATGATGGAGCAAATCAGGGGAGGAGAAGTGAAAGAAGTGAAGAGGTTTAAAGCGCGGAGTGGGGGAAACCTGAACGCTCCCGTTTTGTTAACGTTTGATGGTGATAGCCTGCCGCCTAGAGTCTTCTTTGGATGCTTGTCATTTCAAGTGAAAAAATATGAGAGACCTCCGCTTAGATGTTTCAAGTGTCAGAGATTTGGCCATATTGCTGCGACATGCCGCGGTAGCCAAAGGTGTTCAAAGTGTGGGGGGGAACATGATTTGTTAGAATGTGATAAGACTGACTTGAAATCTTGCAATTGTGGGGGCACTCATATGGCGTCTTCCCGAGGATGTCTGCACTTTGAAAAGGCAAAGCGTGTCCAAGATGTGAAGGAGCAGCATAAGATTTCTTATGCAGAGGCGTTAAAGAAAGTCGAGGGAAGAGGTGACAATATGTCTATGTACGTGGGTTCCAACGCTCATGCGCCCACTCCAGTTGTCCCGCACCACCCACAACCTACGGTGCCAGCTGATTCAATAGTGGTGAAAAAAGAAAGTTTACTGGCGTTTATGGTAGATGTGGTGTACGCTACCGGGGCTACTAAGGGTAAAGACAAGGAGCTAAGCAGGTCTGACATCATGAGGGCGGTGGTTGAGGCAGCGGGAAGGTTCTTAGGAACAGGAGCGTGTGACCCTTTAGAACTGCATAAATTTATGACAGACTGTCAAAAGAAGGCTACTAAGCCACAGGATAAAGAGGTAGAGGGAATTGTGGTCAATACATGGGAGGGAAATGATGATTAAGCTAATTATCATGGTCGGCATTATGCAATGGAATGCTAGGAGCTTAATAGCAAATGGACAAGAACTTAAAAAAATTGTTGATATCGGTGAGAGTAAACCTGATCTGATATGTGTCCAAGAGACATGGCTAAAGCCATGTCTAGAATTTGTAGTACCAGACTATGAAAGTTTAAGAAAAGATCATAAAGAAGGAACAGGAGGGGGATGTGCAATATTTGTCTGGGCAGGGGTGCAATTCCAACAGGTGGCACTAACAACCTCCCTGGAGTGTATGGCAGTGAGGGTGTGGGGGGACCATGGTAAGATAAACATTGTTAACTTATATAACCCGTGTATGCAACTTAAAGTGGAGGAGTTGAAAAAGGTAGTAGATGAGGTGGGTGCCCCTTTGATATGGGTGGGGGATTTTAATGCACATAACCCACTATGGGGGAGCAAAGACAGAGATAAGAACGAGGAAGTAGTAGAAGAACTAATGGAAAGGTGGGGGCTGGTATGTTTGAATGATGGGAGACCAACTGGGATTGTCATTAGAATGGGGAGGGTATCATGCATTGACTTAGCTATAGCGTCACCACAGATAGCAGGAAAAGGGGTGTGGGAAACCACAGAAGAGAACACCTTAGGAAGTGACCACTTCCCAATAGTGGTGGGATTTGGCCAGTCCTTGAGAGTGGAGGAAGATACAAGACCAAGACCTCTAAACTACAGTAAAGCTAAATGGGATAAATTTGCTGAGGGATGTAGAAAGGGGTTGGACAGTGTTAAAGGAGACGGTTCAATTGATGAATGGAATAACAGTCTATGTGAAATGATAAAAGATAACGTTAACCATTGCATTCCCAGGAAAAAAGCTTTAAAACGCAAGAGTGTTCCATGGTGGAATAAAAAGTGTGATGAGGCAGTGAGGGAAAGAAATAGAGCCTATAAAATACTAAGAAAGTATCCAGTGCAGGAAAATGCCATAGTGCACAAGCATTTAAGAGCAAAGGCCAGGAGAGTTATCAAATCTGCTAAGAGAGAGTGCTGGAGGAGATACTGTGGAGACCTAGGAGAGGACACATCAGTAGAGGAGGAATGGGCAGTGATCAGACCTATGTCAGGGATTGTTAAGGGGAGAAGCGTCCCAGTCCTAGAAAAAGGGGGAGTAGTAGCCACAAGCGATATTCAGAAAGCCAACATATGTGTTAAAAAGTTCCAGGAGGTTCATAGTGGGGTGAATATTGGGGAGGAGGGCATTAGGACAAGGAATGAGGTAATAAAAAATCTAATGTACAAACTTGAGGTTAACCAGGAAAACTCTGACAGTAATATGTATTTCTCATTAGAGGAGCTACGAAGAGCAATTCAAAGAGGAGGTAAAACAGCTCCTGGGAAAGATGGCCTAGGGTATGAGGTATATAAAAAATTAGATGATATTGTGTTGGATGAGATTCTAGCGCTCATAAATACAGTATGGTGTGAAGGTATTATTCCTGTGGCATGGAGACATGCAGTTGTTATCCCTATCCTAAATCCAGCAAAGGACGCCTCAAAACCAGGGTCCTACAGGCCGATTGCACTCACAGCGATACTATGTAAAATCATGGAGAGGATGGTTACAGAGCGACTTACATATAAGCTAGAGAGGCAAGGGTGGTTCACACTTATACAGAGTGGGTTCAGAGTAGGGAGGGGTACAATGGACTCTGTGCTTGCACTTGACCTGGACATAAAAAAAGCTAAGGCTAACAAGGAAGGAGTGGTAGCAGTTTTCCTGGACATCGAAAAGGCATATGACATGCTGTGGAAAGAGGGGTTAGGGGTTAAGCTATATAATGCTGGAATACGAGGGCAGATGTTGAACTGGATTAGGGCATTCCTGCAAAACAGGACCATACAGGTCAGAGTTGGAGGAGCATACTCAGAAACAGCAGGGATAGACAACGGTACTCCTCAAGGGAGTGTTATAAGCCCTGTCCTGTTTAACATTATGATCAACGATGTGTTCCAAGAGGTAGGGGCAGACTTTGGGCTATCGTTGTTCGCCGATGATGGGGCAATCTGGAAAAGAGGAAGAAATTACAAGTTTTTAACAGAAAAGATACAAGAAGCACTGAATAAGGTGGAAGACTGGGCTAACATGTGGGGTTTTGAAATATCAGTGGAAAAGTCAAAATTTGTTATATTTACTAATAAAAGGAAGACTGGAAATCTGGGGCTGAATATCTATGGCAAGCCATTAGAGAGAGTTAAGGAGTATAAGTTCCTAGGAGTCATCTTTGAAGAAAGAATGACATGGAAAAAGCATGTAGAATAAAACAGTGAGGAAATGTGAGAAAGTTATAAATATGATGCGGTGCCTTTCTGGGAGCACATGGGGAGCAAACAGAGACACTCAGATACTAATATACAGAGCTATGATTCGCTCCACCCTAGATTATGGGTGCTTGGCATATGGAGCGGCAGCCAAAACCAACCTGGCAGCACTAGATAGGGTGCAGGCAAAAGCACTGAGAGTGTGTAATGGGGCATTTCGCTCAACCCCAATCCCAGCTTTGCTGGTGGAGATGGGAGAGACACCACTAGCGTTAAGAAGGAGGAAGCTAGCATTAAATTACATAGCTAAACTAAATGGTCATGACCGAGCTCATCCAGGAAGGCAATTGTTGGAGGAGTGCTGGGAATGGGGAGGTGGGGAAAGCGGGAGCTTTGTTTACAGGATAAAAGCGGAGGAGGAGGAACTGGGGTTGAGTGGAGTGTGCGGGGGTACTGCGGTGACCTGGCCTTCTGTTCCTCCTTGGCTGCTGCCAGAAGTGGAGGTAGATTTTATGGTAGCTGAGAGGATGAGGGAGAAGGGTAGAGGAGAACCAGAGGACTTGGTGAGGGAGAGGATACATGAGAAATGGGCAGACCACCTACAGATTTATACAGATGGGTCTATGGACCCGAATAGATATAGGGTGGGGTCCGCAGTCCACATCCCCTCCTTGCGGATCACCCAGAGCAGATGACTTTCGGATGGGGTGTCAGTCTTCACATCAGAAGTAGTGGCCTTATTATGGGCGCTAAATTGGGTTGAAGAAGTGAGACCGTAGCAGGTGATTATCTGCTCGGACTCAGCGGCTGCGTTGATGGCTCTGCAAGGAGGGAAGTCACGGGTCAGACCAGATCTCATTTGTGAACTGCTAACTACACTTTATAGACTTGAGAAAGCTGGAACTGGAGTGGGGTTCATGTGGGTACCGGCTCATGTGGGGGTGGAGGGTAATGAGGGTGCTGATTTGGCAGCCAAAGAGGCCCTGCGGAGGGAGGAGGTTGATGTGGGTATAGCCTTGGGGATTTCTGAGTACCGCCGCATAATAAAGGAGGAGATACTTGCGAGGTGGCAGTGTGAATGGGAGGAGGAAACAAGAGGACGGTTTTATTACAGCATACAAAACAGTGTTAGAGGAAGGAATCTCTAGGGGACAATAGAAGAGAACAGGTCATCCTGACAAGATTGAGACTAGGTCACTGTGGACTAGCAGGGGGACTCGCCCGAATTGGGAAACATGCAAATGGACTATGTGAATGTGAGAAAGAAGAAACTGTTAAACATGTAATCATGGAGTGCTCAAAATACACAGCGGAGAGGAGGGTGCTGTTTTCTCCAGTACTTGATGCAGGACTGTCCTGTATCTCGCTGAGGAATCTTCTCAGACCTGGGGAACAACAAAGTACAGTGGTGAACGCCCTAATGGAGTATTTGTGGGTCACAGGCCTGTACCACAAGGTTTAAGGCCACAGTATAAACTGAGTAATAGCTACCTAGCGCGACCGGTGGGAGGCAGCAATACGCCGATGGGCATCTGCCGAAAAGCAAAAAGAAGAAGAAGAATTTCTACCACGACTCCGCCTCGGCTCGCGCTATCCTTCTCCGACAACAACGAAGGTGAGTTAGAGCACAGTCTCTGTAATGTCTCAACACTTCAAACGGTGATTTAACGTTTCAAAATGGCACTGGTTTGAGTTATAATCGATGAAGAGTTTATTCATGGTTGTGGTCGAGATATTGAGTTGAAAACGCTTACGCTAACGCTGTTAGCTTCGAGCTAGCGGTGTTAGCACCGAGCTAGCGGTGTTAGCGTCGAGCTAACCCTAAAGCAAACATACCATCAGTTATGAGGCCGAATCATTAGCCAGCTGATAAATGCACTAAATAAAGTGAATATCTAAGCCCCCGTGGTACTGTACAGCATGCCAAATGATGAACAGCTTTCAGAGTTTACTGACATTGGGACTGACGGGGATACTCATATTGTCAAGTATTAACTAACTACTGAAGCTAGCGCTGTTGCTACAGGTAATAGACTGTTCATAACTGTGACTGAGTCATAGCTGCACAGCAAAAAATCCAAATCTTGTTAAGTACATGTAGCTTGTTTCTATTCATCGGACTTAATATAAGATACAATCATCTAAGGAAGCTATTTTCTGTGAGATATATGGACATGTTTTAATACCGTGCAACTTGAAAATCTTGCTAAGAGATAAAATCTTGAAATGACCTGGTATTGAGTCATTTCTCAGATAAAACAGGTTTTTTGGGACATATAAGACATTTCTATGCTGTTGTGCTATTTGTAAAAGATGGATCATACTCATTTCAAGAAATATACTTAGTTGATTTCAAGAAAAGACATCTTTATTGGAAATATCAGGCTTTTTCTTCAACAACTATGATACTCATTTTCTCTTTGATTTATCCCGAGTAAGCAGGCATGGTAGCCAGGCAGGCAGCAAGTTACATAGCTTTAAGTATGATGCGCAATAATGTCTGTGAGATCATACTTCATCGGATTGTACTTTCTATTTTTAAATGTCACATAGTAGTATGGCATATAATCAACAAGATTTCCAGCATCAACAAAAATATTGGCCTGAGCCTGATAAGGAACTTCTACCTCATATGCTAAATACTGATTACTCCACCCAACTGTAGAGAGGGGCTGGCATTCAAAACAATACATAGATGAATTTACAATATAAATGTTTTTCACAAGACCAAACTCTGGAGTACCATTGATGACATTAGTAATAGCCAAAGACTTCCCACGTGTATACTTATTTCCACACTGCATTATCACAAGAGATTTACAAATATTCTTAAAATTACTTTTCAAAGCCCACTGTTTGAAAAAACAATGTTTTGACTCAAAGCGCATACACGTGTCTCACTGTTGGACCAAGTGCCTTAATCTGAGAAGGAAGATGTAAAAGGTAATGCTGTTTAGGTATAATATTTGTATCTGGAAAGAGTTCTTTGAAATCCTTCAAATGTTGCTCTATTAAGAGCTTCAACTTTGAAAGAGTGGATAGAGCAATGATAGGCGAAAACAGAATTTTGACTATCTCTAACAACTTATGCAGCATTTTTGTGTAATCATTGTCTCCAATTGTATCAAAAAGAAATGGTAAGATCTTTAACAAAACCAGCATCTGCCCAGCTGACTGTTTCAGTTTATTGTCATCCGATGTCAATGTATTGACAGATATGGGGCAAGGCTTATCCCTGGCATCTAGAGGAGAATAATTGAAACCAATAATAGCACTGTTTAATGTGTCTAAGTTCATATGCCCTGAAAGCACTAGCTGCTTTAAAACACATTTGATTTAATATGGCGCTACACCCTGAAGAATAATATGCATTATGTCCTCAGGGGTTTGAGTAATTAAATTAAACCCAGGAAATTCTGTAAGTTTGCTCCTTCGGTTTACACCATATGTTGTTTTTAATTTTTCTTTCAGATTGTTCGTGCTTGCCCTTTCAATGTTACAACATTGTCTTATATGACTTGCCATGGTCCTTTTAACAAACAAATCCTCATTAAACTGTTCCTGCATGTCTTCAAAGTTGCATTCACAGTGCCTGCATTTACTGTATGCAAACCCTACTCCTTCCTTAAATCCAGCAACTTCATGTTGAGCTAGAGTGTCTCCACACACAGCCATAACAGCCCCATAAATTGTCTGCTCACCATTTGCAGTGAAAACTTTAGCACCGACATACAGTTCATTTAAATCATGGTTAAGTCTCTGAAATATCTTATCGATATTAGAAAGATCTTTAGATTTTACCATGGCAAGCAAACGAATAGCAGCAAGTCTTGATCTGTATTTAGGATTGATGTTACCTAGAGTGTAATGATCAACAACAATTTATTATTGCCCGCCCGTGATCCAAGGGGATTACATAAATCAATTTCATCTGTGTATACAATTAACTGCAATGCTTTGGGAAATTTTGAAAAAAGTGGATGCACCTTAAAAATGTCCCCATCAATGAAATCATAAACAAATCCATACTTGCATGGTTGTGGCCCTTCTTCAATCATTTCAAGAATTCTTGGATGTAATAGCAGCTGCCCTAAACTTTCAAGCAATGGTATATAATGAAAGTAATGGCTCTTAATGGCAAGGACTCTTGCATCTCCACGTTTCACATAACATGCTGAATTCTTTAAGACCACAAGCTCTGCTTCAACTGGTTGCAACAGTTCTGTAATTTTCTTGTCCTGCAAATAAGTTGTAGAAATGTCACTGAAAGGGTCACTAAACTGGTCAAATATATCCATTGCATCGCTCTTCAGTTGATCAAGGTTGCCAGAATGTCTTTCAATCATGTCATTCATTTGATGTTTTAGGTGATCCAGTAATGCTGCTTGATATTGCTGGACTCCATTCACCATCTGGTTAACAGCTCTCTGGGGCGGGGTGGGGAGGGGATGAGTGTGGAATATACACAAACAAATAGATTAATATACAAATATCTATATGATTCTCACACACAGGCTTTAAAGGACAACTTTATTTTTTTATTTTATTTTTTTCCCCAGCCTTTTCTCATGTTGTAGATTGCATTTAGGACATGTGAAAGATGAGTGTCAAAATTATCTAAATTGCTACTTTCTTTAGTTTTAGCCATTTCAATGTGGCTAAAATGTTGTTTGTATAGGTGGACGGGGGAAATGGTACAAGAGGCTATATGTCTTATTTTACAAAATAAGCTGCTGAATCTTTTTGTTTTTATTTACTATGGCCTTTATAGACCCCAGTCAGTTGACAAATAAAAATAAATCGCCAGCCTTTTTTGTAAAATAAGACAAGTTTAGCCCCTTGTACGATTGCCCCAGCCCCTGTACAAACAGCATTTTAGCCACAGTAAAATGGCTAAAACTAAAGAAAGCAGCAAATAAAATAATTTCAACACTCAGCTTTCACATGTCCTAAACACATTCTAAAACAGAGCTAAGATTGAAAAAACTAAAGTTGTCCTTTAAATGCATTCTAACATTTTAGGATTATTTATTAAATGCTTGCTTCTAACAGTGAAATTCTAGTAGAAGACAATAGCATACACTACCTGTGTCAGTCGTTGGGTTTCTTTCGCTTGAAGAAGAAATGCAGTTGCATGTTTGGAAAGATCAACCTTCTCAGGACCCTCTCCACCTTCTCCAATCTGATATTAAAAAACTAAAAAACATCTCTCTTAAAACAGGGAAAGGTGATGTGGCTTTAACTCATTGTTCCCCAAACATCATCATCATCATTATTATTATTCAATATATAAGATTTCAATACATTTCAACATCTCAACATTACCCCAAATCAAATCATGAACAAATGAATCTAAGAAATTCCATAAATTAGAAAAAAAATGTTTAAGAAGTAGCTCACAATGTGGCGTGTTGTCAGCTTGTAGATATATTTTTTACTATTTTTGGGTGCCAGGCAAACGTCTAACTTGTCTTTGGGTTTAGAGCTAGAGTTTGGAATCATTGGTTTAAATAACACCACCATTAAGACACTACTTTTAACTGGGCATGTTATAAGGCAATATTAATAATCAAGAACCCATTTGATATGCATTAGGCCAGTGGTTCTCAACCTCCAGCAGTGACCCCCCAAAACCATCATATTTGAACTGCATTGGGGAGGGGAACCCTCCCAATGTTTTAGCAAGGTTTGTTGATTATTTCTGATTCTGTAAATGGTATTTTTCTTTCAGGGTCTTACAAGTCCTTAAAGTATGACTTCACTGGCGACCCCCCTGGGGGTCCCAAGCCACAGATTGAGAACCACTGCCTTGCCCACAGAACACCATTGGATAAGATTTTTATGTGACCCCAATCTGACTACTTTTTTTGTTAAGACATGAATTGGTTAGTCCAATACGGTCTTTTTTATTTCTATAATAGCATTTACATCAACTCAATACATACCACCATTATATTAGTTAGTGTATAGCCATGCATTTAAACACCACTGAAATCTAAACAGAATACCATTGTGGGCTGGGGCGGTGGTAAAAACACAATATATAAAGGAAAAACGATAACCTACCGTTTGTGTGTCTCTGAATGAATTATCTTCAGTCACTGATGAGCAATCCTGCGTTGTATCAGTGTGCGTAGAGTCCTCGGCTACAGAGTTGTTCACAATGCTGTCTGTGGTCTCCTGGTGCGTTCCTGGTGATGATGTCGCCTCGTCATCCCCTGGTCCAAGCGCGCCATTGTGAAGATGATGAGCGTGCGTCCGTTTTATGTGATAATAATATGAGTTATACACCCTGTACTCATTTGGGCAGCCATCAATGCCACACACGACGCGAAAGTCGGGACTACGACTGTGTAAAGAGTTAACATGACTCAGCAGCTTTTTAAGAGTCAGTGCCACAAACACATAGCAGATAAAACAACGCCAAATCATCTTCAAAGTCTAACGTTTGGTCAGTCAGCATCACGTTATACCGCCATCTCTAAACCCCCGTAGCTTCCGTCTTGTTTGAATAACGCGCGACCAACTGATGTTGATTAAAAAAAAAAGATTCCGGTCCATACTAAAGCAGAAGACGGGGTCCGCTTCTATTTTAGTTATCGTCTTGTTTCATTTTAGCTCCACAGCACAAAATGTATTGGGAAGGAAACTACTTACAAGAAACGCTTATATTACAAACTTTCCATAAATTAAGAAACGATGTGTTTGAAATAAATTCACGGATGCATTGGTTTCACAACCCCCCTCTTCTTCAGAAGTGGTAGCGACCCACGAGCCGAAGAAACCCGAACACAGCCGAAGGTAACGCGGCTCCGCTGATGTCTGTATCAGCACACCTACACCTCGCGGGAGATCCGATGCCGACTTTGTTTTATTACCATTTTACAGATTCAAACGGATTTTATCCTCGCGTTATTTCTGGTAAGTGACACGCACCATTTGCCTTTACTTTTGAAGTTGACTCTCCATACGTTTTGCATGTTAAGTTTTCAAAGTGCTACTTATTTGTACACAGGTTGTTTGCGGGGGCAACAAGCTAAGCTAACCAGCTAGCTAGTAACAACATGGCCAGCTGCTTGGACGATGTCGCTGTGTCCACTTTGAGGGGGAATATTGAGGGAAATATTTTTTAAACTTATAATTTCAGATACGTGTGATGCTTGCCCTTGGTTGTAGTGGGCAAAAACACAGATTTACAAGCTTACGTTCCATCACATGGAGGACGCTGTGTGAACTTGTACTTTTGTGCCCGCCATATTGCCGCTTCAGAACAAAATGATAACCACCACAACCTGTCACTTATATCAAGGGTTCTCAGACATTAAAAATTCAAATTGACTCAAATTGGCCCAGCAACCAGGTGGCAATATTTGATTTTAATATTGAATTCAAATGAGACTCCCCACAAGTTAAATAAACACAAGTACATGTATTTTCCTACAGCTGCAAACATCAGTGAGGCACTGATGGGCACCCTGACTCGTGAGGACCTGAAGGATCTTTTCCCAGGCCCAGAAAATTTCTTGAGGAGGAAAGCAATCTGGGATTCATGTCATGGTGATGTTGAGGTCAGTCTACAAAATTAAGTGACAACCTACTGTGCATGACTTAAATCCACACCACACCAATAATTTGCCATGCAACTCATCCAAAACTTAACAGATTTAAGATATGTCACATCAATGCAACTGCCTTTGAGGATCCTGGTTGCAAGTAGTTGCATGGCAAATCATTGATGTGGTTTGGACTTTATAGGGGATTCACACTACAGCAGAATGAAGTGAAGCGGACCCGAGGGTCACCAGAACTTTCAGCCCTTTTCCCACTCAGACCTTTTTTCTGGAAGGGTCAGCCCCATTTTCAAGGTACTTTATCTTTGCGGTCGTGCATCAAATGCCAACATTCAATACACCAAATGAATCACAAAACCGAGCTCTACAACATGGAACAGTAGTAGTCTACTACTGTTCCATGTTCTACTAGTAGAGCATCTAAACCCTAAACCGTCCAAATGGCAAGCCATTTTTGTATGATTGGCATGAACGGTTTACGGTTTAGTTGCTCTACCACGGTTCCATGTTTAGAGCACATTCTTGTGATTCATTTGGTGTATTGGATGTTGGCATTTGATGCACAAACCGTAGAGAAAAATTACCTTGAAAATGGTTCCGAGCCTTCTGGAAAAAAGGGCAGAGAGGGAAAGGGGTTGAGAGTTCTAGTGAACCTTGGATACGCTTCACTTAATTCTGACTTGATGTGAATCCCCTCTTAGAATCAACACAGACATTTAGGAACAGTGGCTATGGCCTAAGAAAGTGGTCAATTGTTAAACCATTTTGGACAGAAAGTAAGTTCACTTAAAGTGTTACATAGGTACAGGTAGTTTAACTGTAGGAGGGAACATCTTTGGCATTCTACAAGCCTGCCTATATAGATGAATGAAAAATTTACTAGTTAACACAGGAAAAAAGGAAATGTGTATTTTGCCACTACTTCATAATCTTTTATTTTTTAGGAACCCGGCCGAGAAGACTCGACCATTTCTACTCCCCCGCCACCCCTGTCACCCCTGCCACAGACCTCCACACCGGTTCAACCAATTGCCCCCCACTCAACCCCTGAAAAGGTTGTGAAGTTATTCTTCCCAGAGTATGTTGTCCACACAGACACCGAACTTGAACACGTCAGAAATGAATACTTTGAGTTGGCGAAGAAGGGTGAAGAGCAGAACTGCCAAATGTCCAAGGACCTCAGATGCCGGCTCATCTGTAACACCATGACCAGTATGATCGCAATCCTGAGGGCAAATGGGGATGCTGAGTCTGACAGATACCCATCAAAGCCAGAGGTTACAGCTATGGCAAAAAGAATTGTCAAGTACTACCCCATGCTGCAGGACCTGGGCAAAAAGAACACCTGGGTAGGTGAAATGTTTCAAGTTGACGATTCAAGTGTTTATAATTTTAAAGGAGTAACGAATGCTTTTACTTTTGTGTTCTAAAGGCTACTGTGTATGGACAGCTCTTCAAAAGATTGCAAAACGTGAGATCCCCCCAAAAGACCTTTCCAGATGGGAGACCTTCAAAGAAGCGCCATCTCAAGCAAAAGATGCCCCATCCTGAGCAGACAACTGACACAGATGAAATGGAATCAACTCCGTCAAGTGACTCGACCATCATTCTAGACCCATCTTCAGAAGAGAATACAGCTATGGACTCTGCCAATTAAGAAAGAGGTGGCCTTTAAATTTATATTTACACATTTTTTTCTTATTAGTTTTGCCTTCAACTTGTGTAAAAATAGTTTTCATGATGTAGTCATAAGTACAATTAGTATTAAGGGTTAGTATTAGCAAATGTGTATTCTGGTTTGACTAGAAGCATTACATATTTAAAGGTAGTGATTTTTATATTCATTTTATTAAAGGTTCAATTATGTGTATGTTTGTGTGTCAGCAGAAATCAACATGTCACCAGACCGCGACGGTTCTGACTCTGACAGTCCAAAGACCATGGCCAAGCACTACAAAACTCTGCAGGCTTTGTTCAAAAAGAAAAATCCAAACAACGAAGCTGTCTCGCAGCTCCTGGATTTGGAATTCAAAGCCAGAAGAGCCATCATCGATTTAGATTCCACTCTAGAGGAGAACAGATACTACAACGTCATAGAGGCATATCCTTGTTTCAAGGTCATTGGACATGTAAGTGATTGTTGACATAATTCAAAACATATGCCATGGCATGTTTTGACAATTTCCTGCCCTAAATTCAACATCTGTAATATATCTTGAATATCTCAGGTGATGGAGGAACTTCGCCGCATCGTGGACAAGAACAACAGCAACTACATTGCTGAACTGAAAGAAAGATGGCACAACTTCTGCCAGAAGGTCTTGTTTTATGGCGTGTCAAAGAACATGATGAAATGTCCAATGGGAATGACCAAAAGTAAGCACCGATGGCTGTCAAATCATAAAATTCAGTTTTGAAATTTAGCTGTTCCAGATTCAGAGTGCATTTCAATGTGTAAATGTAATGAATCTTTTCCTCTACAGTTGAAAATGCTCTCATGATCCTCCGTGCACTGCCATCACTGTTCCCCTCTCCATCTACTGCTCCAAAGAAGTGAGACCCGAGTGAGGCTCTGGTGTATGTCCTGGAGGTGAGCTGTGTACAATTTTACACTATCTGTTCAAAGCAAGCACAGCCTGTCATGTTGAAATAGTTAAACGTGAAGGTCTTAACTTAACAAGGATGTTGCTGGCTTAGGTTTGAAAAAGAAGATTTTAAACAATAAAAAGAGTCTGCACGCCAATTTTATGAACTCACTGCTTACTTTAATTGGTGTGCAGACTGTTTTTATTGTTTAAAGTATCACTGTTTGGATCCAGCACCCAGCCATATTTGCCATTTGAGGTGCGTGTCTCGGCTATTTTGGCCTTTTTTCTATTATAAAAAGAAGACTGAAATGAACCTTGAAACAAAAGTGCATTACTCGTAGAAGGGATGTGTGTGCTTTTGTGTTTTAGGACAAAGACCCCAATGTCTACTTGAAGAAGTGTCCTCTGTCCTGTCCCGTGCTGCTTGTGAGTGAGTTCAACTGCCTCCTGGCTATAGGGGATGAGCCCATACATACACTCGCAAAATGTGAGGTTGTGGATGGTGTTTTGTACCTTATGGCCTACTATTATGCCATACACCTTACATACCCCAAGTGTGTAGCCACTCTGCTTTCTGTCATACAAACAGAAGTCCTCTTGGACGAAATCCATGAGAGAGACCTCACTCCTTCTTACAAGAAGGCCATTGCTGATTGGACAGCTTTCAACAACCCAAGGCAATAGGCAGATTTAGTACTTTTGCAGTACTTTAGTCCCCCCCACCCATCCTTTTTCAAGCCACGCTGATTGTGTTAAAGGCTGCTGCAATCCTGTGCCTTTAATTTTGTGTAGCCCAGCAATTTTAAGTAGCCCAGCAGTACATTTTATCCAAACTGTTTAATTGAAATGTTACTGCACTGCTGGTTATATTGAGGAGGCACCATCTGTAGGCATCCTGATGTCTGCAAGAGACTGGCAGTTGTTGGTGGACCTTGAAAAACAATTTAAGTTCCCCAGCCACACTGCAGTTACCACCCTACGACCAGACATTGTCCTTGTGTCTGAGATGACGAAACAAGTCATCCTACTGGAGCTGACAGTCCCATGGGAAGACCGCTTGGAAGAGGCCTTTGAGAGGAAGCTCTCCAAATATGCAGGTCTGGTCAGCGACTGCCAACTGGCTGGGTGGAGAGCAAGATGCTTCCCTGTGGAGGTTGGTTGCAGGGGTTTTGCAGCCCGTTCCTTGGCTAGTGCCTTGGGTAGTTTGGGCATTGTTGGGGAGAGGAGGAGGAGAGCCATCCGCAATACCACCGAAGGGGCAGAAAGGGCCTCGAGATGGCTATGGCTAAAACGTGGAGATCCTTGGAGTTGTGGTAGCTAGCTAGCTGTCTGGACACAAGCCGGGATTTGATCAACCCCGGCTGGGTCACCTGGAGGAGGGCGTATGTTGTTGAAAGACCCAAAACGTCCAATGATTCCAGGAACATCACTGATGATGTGTCCAGACTAGGCATCAGCAGATGTATGTACACAGCGAACACCCTGAGTTATCAGTGACAGCCAGGAAAGACTGGATGACAACCATGAAGAGTGTGGTGACTACTGGAGAGTCAGTGACAGCTCGGAGAGACGGCACCCGGGGCAGAACGGGTTAGCAACCCAATCTGCATCCTCCGTGAGGAGGAACCCTACCAAGCTACGACGAACCTAATGGATAGATACCTCCAGGGGTGCCCGAGAGGGGAGGAGGATGAGCACCCCAATCGGACGGACACTATGGTTACAGACCCAAGCAACGGACAATCGACCATGAGCAAAGTGTGTACATGCGGTAAGATCTGCAAGAACATCCATGGCTTGAAGATCCACCGAGCGAGGATGAAGTGCCCCTCGGGAGCAGTAGCAACACAACGCACAGGTGTTACACCTGGTGAGACGCAGGAGGTGCCAGGCCCGGAGTCACCCCACAGTGCCCAGAACCTCCATGTGTTGCCAACTAATCCCCCAAGCATCAAGTCTGACAGGAGGCGGATCAGATGGCCTGCAGCTAGCATGACCTCACTCTGGAAGCAATTTGACGACGATGTCGACCAAATTCTGAACGCAATGGCAAAGGGAGATGCCGACGGGAAGCTACGTGCTATGTCAGTGGTCATTGTCAGTATGGCAGCAGAAAGGTTTGGTGAAGAGGAGAAGAAAAGCTCCGAGCCAACCTACTCCAAAAATCAAAGAGCAGTAAGGATCCACAACATCAGGCAGGAGATGAAAGCGCTGAAGTCCCAGTTCAAGGCAGCAGGACAGGAGGAACGCACTGGCCTAGCCCAGCTAATGTGCATCCTTCGAAAAAAGATCAGAGTTCTCCGCCGTGCAGAGTGGCATCGGAGGCGTCGGCGCGAGAGGGTACGGAAGCGTGCTGCCTTCATTGCTAATCCCTTTAAGTTCACTAAGGATTTGCTGAGGCAGAAGCGTAGTGGCAAACTGGCCTCCTCTCAGGATATCATTGACCAACATCTTCAGCAGACGTACAGCGACCCCGCGAGAGAGCAGGAGCTGGGAGAGTGCAACATCCTCATTGACCCCCCGGAACCAGAAGTGCAGTTCAACATGTCGGAGCTGCAGCTGAAGGAAGTCACGGAGGTTGTCCACAGAGCTAGATCAAGCTCTGCCCCAGGTCCGAGTGGCACTTCATACAAAGTCTACAAGAACTGTCCCAAGCTTCTGCTACGTCTGTGGAAAATTCTGCGCGTCTTCTGGAGAAGGGGAAGGATCCTTGAACAGTGGAGAATGGCTGAAGGGGTATGGATCCCAAAGGAGGAAAACTCCACTCAGCTGGACCAGTTCCGCATTATCTCACTGCTGTGTGTTGAGGCCAAGGTTTTCTTCAGCATCGTTTCCAAGCGGCTGTGTACCTACCTGGCAAAGAACACCTACATTGATACATCTGTCCAGAAAGGGGGCATTCCCGGTATTTCGGGTTGTCTGGAGCACACCGGTGTGGTGACACAACTCATTCGTGAGGCCAGAGAGAACAAGGGCAACCTGTCAGTGCTGTGGCTTGACCTGGCAAATGCATTCGGCTCCATTCCACATAAGCTCGTCCAGCTCACTCTGACAAAACATCATGTTCCCAGCAGATGCAGAGACCTCATCGCTGATTATTACAGCAATTTCAGGATGAGGGTCTCTTCTGGTGCAATTACATCCAGTTGGCACAAGGTGGAGATTGGCATCATCACAGGGTGTACCATCTCTGTGACGCTGTTCTCACTGGCCATGAACATGCTCACAAAATCTGCTGAGCCAGAGTGCAGAGGGCCCCGCATGATCTCAGGACAACGGCAACCACCCATCAGGGCTTTCATGGATGACCTTACAGTCACGACAGAATCAGTCCCAGGCTGCCGCTGGATTCTGAAGGGTCTAGAGAAGCTGGTGGCGTGGGCCCGGATGCGTTTCAAACCCGCCAAATCTCGATCCATGGTGCTGAAGAAAGGGAAGGTGGAAGACAAGTTCCGGTTCACCATCACTGGCACAGCCATCCCAACTATCTCAGAGAAGCCTGTCAAGAGCTTAGGCAAGGTTTTTGACTGCTCTCTGAGAGATACAACATCTATCCAGTCAACATGTACTGAGTTGGATGGCTGGCTGAAATCCGTGGACAAGTCAGGCCTACCTGGAAAGTTCAAAGCCTGGGTATACCAGCATGGCATCCTTCCCAGGATCATGTGGCCCCTCCTGGTCTACTCTGTTCCCATCTCAACAGTTGAGACTTTGGAGAGGAAGGTCAGTAACCATCTGCGGAGATAGTTGGGACTACCAAAGAGCCTGAGCAGCATCGCTCTTTATGGGAACAGCAACAAGCTGCAACTGCCCTTCAAATCCCTGGAAGAGGAGTTCAAGGTCACCAGAACCAGGGAAGTGGTCCAGTACAGGGATTCAAGTGACCCGAAGGTGGCTAAGGCTGGGATCCAAGTAAAAACTGGCAGGAAGTGGAGAGCAGCTGAAGCGGTTGAAGAGGCAGAGGCAAGGCTCCGGCACAGAAGCCTGGTTGGAGTGGTCACTCGAGGCCGAGCTGGGCTAGGTTCTTTTCAATCTCCCCAATTGAACACCAAGGGGAAGGAAGGCCGACGTCTAGTTCAGGACGAGGTGAGAGTAGCAGTGGAGGAGACAAGGACCTGCAAGGTTGTAGGGATGAAGCAACAGGGAGCTTGGACGAGATGGGAGAACGCAGTTGAGAGGAAAGTGACCTGGGCAGAGCTTTGGAAAGCTGACCCTCAACGCATCAAATTTCTCATTCAAGCAGTATATGATGTGCTCCCAAGCCCATCTAATCTGCACACGTGGGGCATAGCAGAGACACCAGCATGCCCATTGTGCTCCAAGCGAGGAACCCTGGAACACATCCTCAGTTGCTGTGCAGTGGCACTTGGAGATGGACGGTATCGTTGGAGGCATGACCAAGTCCTCAAAACCATCGCGGAAGCTCTCACCGCAGGACTGGCATGGTCTAAACAGTTCCGACCTTCCAACAGAACCATCGCCTTTGTCCGTGCTGGGGACAAGCCTACCCAAGCCAGAAGAACACCATCTGTAGGCATCCTGATGTCTGCAAGAGACTGGCAGTTGTTGGTGGACCTTGAAAAACAACTTAAGTTCCCCAGCCACATTGCAGTTACCACCCTACGACCAGACATTGTCCTTGTGTCTGAGATGACGAAACAAGTCATCAGTTGGCAGTCGCTGACCAGACCTGCATATTTGGAGAGCTTCCTCTCAAAGGCCTCTTCCAAGCGGTCTTCCCATGGGACTGTCAGCTCCAGTAATCCTACTGTAATCCAGTAATCCTACTGGAGCTGACAGTCCCATGGGAAGACCGCTTGGAAGAGGCCTTTGAGAGGAAGCTCTCCAAATATGCAGGTCTGGTCAGCGACTGCCAACTGGCTGGGTGGAGAGCAAGATGCTTCCCTGTGGAGGTTGGTTGCAGGGGTTTTGCAGCCCGTTCCTTGGCTAGTGCCTTGGGTAGTTTGGGCATTGTTGGGGAGAGGAGGAGGAGAGCCATCCGCAATACCACCGAAGGGGCAGAAAGGGCCTCGAGATGGCTATGGCTAAAACGTGGAGATCCTTGGAGTTGTGGTAGCTAGCTAGCTATCTGGACACAACCCGGGATTTGATCAACCCCGGCTGGGTCACCTGGAGGAGGGCGTATGTTGTTGAAAGACCCGAAACGTCCAATGATTCCAGGAACATCACTGATGATGTGTCCAGACTAGGCATCAGCAGATGTATGTACACAGGATAGCCGTGGGCAACTCTATATTGACCTGCTGTTTGTGTTAATGTATATTTTAAGTTAAAGTAACGGCATTGGTTTAACATGAAGCATTGGTCATAATGCTTTGGTTTCTGTCATACAAACGGTGGTCCTTTTTGTGTTTTGTGGTATCTGACTTGTCAAAGGCCAAGACCACTTTGTTTGAAGTTTGGGTTATATAGTTACCATTTTTTTCATTGTTAAGAAATTGATAATTCAATCCCATTGACTGGCATTATTCGGTGACAGATATCACTGTCTCTTTTAGAATGTAAACAAACACTAACAAAACAGATTCCAATATCACCAAATCCAGTAGTTTTCACTTTTAAATTGAAACGTCAGCTTCATGTTGATTATTGAAGATAAACAGTACTGGGTTTTGGGATGTTCATTGTCTGAATCAACTTGGTTTGTGTTTGTTTTATGTGCT